CGCACGAAGACTTGGCACGGACCCTAGATAGCTCCAAGACCTCAGATGTGCTGGAGCGCGAGGGGTGTATAGAGACACAGGATGTAGGGGCATACCAAACAAAGAGGACATGGAGGCGGGGTAATATTGCCAGACTGGAAAACACTCACAAGGAAGAGATACGGACATTAAAAGTCTTAGGAGCCCCGGGGGAAATGGACTGGAGGAGGACATGGACCCCAACCGGACTGGACAAGCAACAGCAAGTTATCGATAAACAGACCAACGCGATCCGAGACCTGACATATCACATTGACGAAAACGGGAGAAAACGCAACAACGTGCGACTGCGCGGTATACCCGAGACGACCGAGTCACATGACCTGCTACTAACAGCCAAAACTATATTAAAGGGGAACTATGAGGGGGGGGGGAGGGGCTTGTCACTCCTCCTCATAGTTCGGGGCGACGTGTGACAATGAGACTGTCACAGGTCGGCTCAGTAGATCGGGAGGTGAGAGAACACATACCGGCGTTCGCTCACCTCTCGATCCTGTCACGGCTCTCTGCCGCGACAGGGGGAGGGGGCTGGATTCCCCCCTCCCCGCTCCGATCTGCCAGCGCTGACTGGCGGAACGGACGGGGGCGGGTACAGCCTCTGGATAGCTGTCACTCACGCAGCCGGATCCAGACATCGATGTCGGGATCCGCTCCGGCGTCTCAGCCTAGGGTGACTGGAGGACTCTAGTTTGTGTCCTCCCGTTACCCTGAGGAGAACTATGGGGGAAAAATGCACCTTGCAGTCCCAAAAAAAATCCGGAGGCGGCATTCAAAAACCCGGACGCGGCATTCAAAAACCCGGACGCGGCATTCAAAAACCCGGACGCGGCATTCAAAAACCCGGACCGTCCGGGTGAATCCCGGACAGGCGGCCACCCTTCCGGAACTACCCCCAACGCAAATACCCGGAGTGGCCACTGGAACTGATTTACAACGGGAGGATGGCGGAGATGGGGACGGACTACAGTGAAGCCCGCCGAGGATCAAATTTAGTATACAATAACATAAGGGATAGAGGGAGGGCAGAGATTAGTGGCTGGAACGATGGCTCTCCGCCCCCCGGCCCCCCCAGGGAGGGGGGGGGGACATTACTGGGACGGGAATTCAAAAACCCGGACGCGGCATTCAAAAACCCGGACGCGGCATTCAAAAACCCGGACCGTCCGGGTGAATCCCGGACAGGCGGCCACCCTTCCGGAACTACCCCCAACGCAAATACCCGGAGTGGCCACTGGAACTGATTTACAACGGGAGGATGGCGGAGATGGGGACGGACTACAGTGAAGCCCGCCGAGGATCAAATTTAGTATACAATAACATAAGGGATAGAGGGAGGGCAGAGATTAGTGGCTGGAACGATGGCTCTCCGCCCCCCGGCCCCCACAGTGAGGGGGGCGGGGCATTACTGGTACGGAGAAAGTTATATTTGAATTGAAGTGTTATGATGATAGAAACATAGAACCAGGCTTGAACGGACAGACTTTTTGGCCATTACAACCCCCAACCGGGCCCCCTTCTTATAAGGGCTCTTCTTGTATGGTACACGTGTAGGACACGGAAGAGGAGGAGGAGGAAGTCCTACATACAAGAACGTGACAAATGTATAAATGTTGTGAAGTTAAATGGAATAGAAATGTGTAAGAGGTGGGATGGAGGAACTGAACGGGAGGGCGAAGAAGCTACATATGAGGTTGACTGTGTGATATGTCGTCCTAATCAGCGGCGTAACAATCACCATAGCGACCCAGGCGGTCGCTATGGGGCACAGTGGGGCCCGGCCAGATGCCGTGCGGTGTCGCCTGGGTCGCTATGGCATCCTCTGCCGGCGGCTTTCACTGGCGGTAATCTGTGCAGCGGCGCGTTCCTCTCCACAGAGTCAAATGAGAGCCGGCTGCGGCGGTGGAGGAGGCGGGGCCCGTGGTCGGCAACAGGGGAGGAGGCGGGGCCCGGTGACGGAGAAGGAGGCGGGCACGGCGACAGAGAAGGAGAACACGCCCGCTGTTCAGATCATCTGTGCAGGCCGGACCCGGTGTTCTATCGACGTCGCCAGCCTGTGGAGGAGGCGGGGGCCCG